GTTGAAATAGAAATGTTCTCTGATATTTTATCTTGAATCAGAGCTACAAAGTAAAGGAGATTTAAGATGGAACAATGCAGTTCAGGCGCTCTCAACAAGGTCACTAAGGAGTCAGTGGACTCGTGAAGGGACTCCCAATTCCACACATGCACCAAGCACACCCTAACACTGAAGAAGAGCTTGCCAGTGCATGTGGTCTTTTCATACAGACATTTCCACGACTGAAATCCAAAGGCCTCAAAAAGTACCACTCTATTTATAGTCACTGGATATAACTGTTACATGGAGGGGTGCACTAAATTTTTGTTGTTAAAAAGGAGTTTTCATACTCAAAAAAAGGGTAGGAAACACTGATCAGTCAAAAGCACTCTCATTACTGCAACGTCAAGATTTTAGGGTCAGCTGGGATTCCAACCTAGGTTCTTATGCCCAAACCGCCTTTGACTCACATCACACACGTCTTCTAACTCAGGCACTGATTCAGCAACATCTAATACCACTTTTTTCCGAAGGAGGAAAGCCCAGACCCACCTTCTCTCTGTGGCTTTGTCCCAGGAACTTTCTACCTTTCCTGATCTTTTCGTTGCTTTTCCTTCTCTCCCATCCTGATCTCTCCAGCTTGGTCCTTTTAGGATTAGTACCACACTCAACCCCTTTCATACTTTGATGCTCTGAAAGTGCCCCTTTGGAAACTTAATCTATGAAATGGGAATATAGTCACCAAGGTACTAAAGTAAGGAACATATGATGTATATATAAATTGTGCATATGTATATTTTACAGTGAAAATGCCAGCACTCCTATGGTGAATTAATTAATGGTCAATTTAAATGGCAACACCCAGCCAAACTGAGTCAGCATGGTTCTGGGCATGGAAGATCCACCTGAGGATTGCTGCCAATGGCATAAAAGGAGAACAAAAGGGGAAGATTGCTGTTGATTTTCCTAGAGAAGCTTGTTGTGGCTGGTTATCTTGATACAAGTTCAGTTGTTCTCGTCAGAGAAGGAGCTCGGGTCCTTGCTGTCACTGGTGATGGCTGCTGTTCTCTTTGGGGGAGCTCTGGTCTTTACTTGAGCGTTGCTTTCTGGCTCCAGTGCAGATCCCTCAGCCTGCTGGCAGAGGTCCTTCACCCCCTGGTGCAGGCTTTCTGGCTTCCACCACTGGCCTTTGGGCCTTCCCGGTGCAGATCCTCGATATGGACTTGCAAGAGACATTGCTGTGGGCTCGAGGCCTCTGGCTGGACATGTTCAGACACTGCTATGGGATCCAGGCTGGATTCTTCATGTCTCTAGCATTCGGACAGATCTCTTGCACTCTTCTGCATTTGCCTTTTTTGGGTATTATAAAATAATCCTATCAATTATGTGTTCAGGCCTGGGAATTTAGCTCTGTGGTTCTGCCACCTGCCTGGCAAGCACAAGGTCCCGAGTTCAATCCCCAGTATCAAAAAAAAAAAAATTATGTGTCCAGTATTAAATCTACTTCCTTGCAAACTCTGACTACAACAGCTCCTATTAGCTATGGAGAATAAGAAAACTGGAATATTCAAGAATACTTTATTGACTCTGGATCTGTCAACAATAGGCTATTAGCAAGCCCCAAGCATATCAACTTTTCAAAAGGGCTTTTCATATCTATTATTTTAGTTTATCGTACAAAGACTCACTCTAAATGCTACTAGGATACTATTAGAACTCAAGTTCCACAAAGAGATGAGATGAGATGAAATACAGATTTTTTTTTTTTTTTGGTACCGAGGATCGAACTCAGGACCTTGCACTTTCGAGGCAGGCACCAGAACCACTGAGCTAAATCCCCGGCCCATTGAAATAGATTTTATTCACTGCTCTTTCACTGGTGCCAAGAACAGGTCCTGTCATATGATAGGCATTCAAGAAATAATTGTTGAATGGTGGAAGTAGAATTGGATGGTATGTATGTATTGTCTTCACAGTTTTATTTTTTATTTGAGAAAAGGAAAAGTCTATAAGGGAACAACTAAATTCCTTATACAGTGGACCCTCAAGTTACAACCAGCTTGACATAATAATTACGTTATTGGAAGATTCATCTGCCTCTTGTTATCTATAGCATGTACCCAGGGAAATATCCAGAAGCCCACTGTACTGACTTAGTTACAACCAGCCCTCAGGGAACCAATCGGGTTTGTAAGCCAAGGGTCTAAGGACCCACTATACTTTTTCTCATTCTTCAATCCTCCTATAACCTTTCATTTAACATCTTTCCTTGAATATGTTTAATGTAATGTTTTCAAAATTATACAAGTAATTCATTTTAGGAAAATCAGATACTACCAATATATTAGAAGAAAATAAAAGTTGTTCTTGATGCCATCATCAAAAAACAGCACAGTTAATATACCGTGGCACTTCCTATCAGCCTTTATTCTCTGCATACACAACCCCCCCCCCCATACTATTCCCAAAAGTCCCTGCCCTAGTCTATGGGACTTGGGAGTTTTTCCTCTTTCTCTAAACCCTTTTCTTTACTTGTTACACCCCTCTTCCCTTTTCTTATCCACTACAGCTGATCCTTTCCCAATATTTAGGACCTTACTTTTCCCCCAGCTCCCTCCAGAAGATTTGACTGTACTTCAACCTGAAACTCCATGAGATGTCTACCTGCAGCCTCAATTCTCCCTCTTCTCCAGGACACCAATGCTCCTCCAACTCCACACATTTATATCCCAGCGTGCCACATCCCATCACAGCCAGATGACTTGCTGGGTGTGATGGCACACACCTGTGATCCCAGCACTTGGAAGGCTGAGGCAGGAGGATCACATGAATTTCAAGGCCAGCCTGAACTACATAGTGAGACTTTGTCTCAAAAAAAGAACAAAAACCCAAAACCAGATGACTCATTTACCCATTTCTGACAATTGCAGCAGAACCTTACATTGCCCTCAATAGCCTCTGAGGCCCTACCCAATCGCCCTAAGCATTTCTATCCCTCCTTTCTATTCTCTCAACCATCTTTTCCCACTGCTATTTTTTGTTTAGGCCTGGCCTTTACGCTTACATTATTTTTACCTGTGCCACCTGTTTGCTGTATAACCAAAACACCACTCAGACGCACCCACTGCTGCCTCTTAAACTCTATCTCATCATCCCATATTCAGAAATTTATGGTTACTTTCCACTCTTACAAAATGGAATTCTAGTCCCTTCAAAATCTTGCCTCAGACTAATTCTGTCTTTCTCCTTATTCCTGAAAACCCTTTGCTCCAGCTAACATGGTGCATTCAATATTAATCCAGTCTATAACATTTATGAGTTAAGATTTATATACCATTTATGACATGTTCGTTCTTCCAACAAATATTTACTGAGCATTTTCTATTGTCAGGCAATGTATTGACGCTGTGGATACAAAGGTGAACGAGAGAGACCCAGTCCCTGTCCCCCCCAGAAATTACAGGCCAACTGGTTATGCAAGGGAGCCCCTGAGACATGATTTCCTAAAATGTTAAATGTGTCAAGACCTCCCTGAGGGCTGCAAGTGGGACAGGAGTTCAGAAGGAAGGAAGGACTCGTCAGGGTGAGAGCTGGAGTGTGGAGCACAGTTTCTTTGAGGATGTGGGACTCAACTCGGACATTCAAGGACAGGTGCCTGAGAGTGAAGGCTGTCTTTCATTGGGAGATATTGTATGAGGAAGGCACAAAGATGAAATGAAAACAAGGGCAACAGCATCTGTTTATTTTGGATAAAGGTTCACATAACACCTAGTCAGCAGAGCACATGCTCTACCCCAGTGAGGCCTGGGGATCTGCAGTGGATGTGACAATGACTCAGCCTCAGCTTCTACCACCCAGTGATTTCCAATCAGCAAGGAGGGTAAGACAGGTCAGTGGTGATCTCTCACACCACCAAAACTGTGGCATTTCACAAGCGATTCAGAGAAAATGCCAAGGAAGGTGGGGGGAGGGAGGGAGGGAGAACATGTCTGGGTTTGCATAAAAGTATTTATAGAATCACTTTTTTATTCACCTACATCCACACGTGCATATATTGGAAATAATGATTTTTGTTTCCAAGTTCTAACGTCTTTATCTTATGCAGGGACTTGTGAAGCAGGCAGAGTGGGTAAGGTTATATTTTTCAGATAAGCAAAACCAGCACGGATCTTTTAGTGATCTGCTTATGTCTGGGACACAAATAGATAAGAACGTCCTGTCCATCCCGGTCCACTTCTGTAGCAGTGGAAGTATCTAGAGCAGAGTGCGCACATTAAGAAATTCTGTAATTGCATCTGACACCCGAGACATGTAATGGAGCCAGGCAGGCAGCTGGACTTGAAAGGACAGGGTGCAGGCTGCCCTCTGGAGAGGGAACGGGACCCAAGGTCTTTCCTCCATTCCTCTTCACCTCCTCAAGTCCCCCTTGCACCACCACCACCACCACCACCACCACCGAGGCCTGTCCAAAGCATAACTATCCTTTAAGGTTTGCTCCTAAATTTTTCGGCCCATACTGGGGTTTCCTCGCAATTTGACCGCCCCACCCCCAGTCTCCCAAGGATATCACAGTAAGTCCAGCTGGTACACTGACTCACAGGTTATTAAGTACGTTTCAGCTGAATGAATGAATTTTTGGGACCTCTACAATCCAGTAAAGATTCCCTAGGTTCTTACATCCGTCCTTCGCAACCCGGAGGAGTTCACTAAGGGGAAGAACGAAGGGCCGGGTCAGGGCCACTGAGAATCTGGAGCGCGACCGGGGCGCGTGTCCCCAGCTGAAGTCGGGACTAATGTTCCCCGGCTTCCAGAAAACGCGCATCACGAGGTCGTTAAATGTTTCCTCGTCTACCAAATCGTCAGGGAAAGTGGTGAAAAACAAAGCCGGGAACGCGCGAATCTCGGGGCCCACCCCAGGCCAATCCCTGGCGGGGAGTAAGGTATGCGCGGGAGCCACCCGAGGCTCGGGGAAGCCGGAACGGTTCTTGCCGCAATAGAACCGAGGGCTGCAAGACTCGCGATATCTGGGGGTCGGGATCTCGCTGCGTTGCCTAGCGACAGGAGGACGCTCGCGGGCCCCCAGGCTAAACCCCGCAGTATCCTTAAATCTCCTACCATGGGGGAAGAAGGCGGCGGCCGCAGCTGTGGGACCACTAAGGAGCTGCAGAAGCTGAAGCAGCAGGCGATGGAGTACTACCGGGAGAACGACGTTCCGCGCAGGCTGGAAGAACTGCTCAACTCCACCTTCTACCTCCAGCCTGCCGACGTCTACGGGCACCTGGTAGGGACCTGGGACGCTTACCCTCCCTCCCTCCGGCCCCTCTCCCCACACCCTGCGCTGCGGCAACGTGCTGCGCCTGCGCCGCCGAGTCGCGCGTGCGTGCTGGGTTGGCCGGCCTTGGTGCGGGGAAGCGATTCGCTGAGGGAGAAAGCAGTGGACTTCTAGGGTGAAGGAGTCCAGAGACTGCACGTGGGAGAAAGGAGATAGCTACAGGAGTAAGGGATGTACCTATGGCGACATCTTAAAGCCTGGCAGCCTGCTCGTGGGTTTGTTAATCAGTCTTGAGTACCGCCTACCTCAGCCTATAGCTTCCGCGGCCCCCGAGGACCACGGGATGTAAGGCTTGAATTTGTTGCGTCTTGGCCTCAACCCATCCGGGTCCTCATCTGGCTGGCTTCCGCTCCTCCCAACTTGTGCCCGGATCTCAAGCCAGCGCGCCTTGGCTGGTGCGCCCTCCTCTGCCTGGATGCTGGTCCCCACCCGACCAGCTCCTCCCTGATCTTCGCAATTCACACCTAAGCCTTGCTCCCATCGCCCTGGGCCGAGAGACCTTGAAATGTCCCTCTGGCATTCCAACTGCTTGTACTGTGATCCTTTGAGTCAGCTTTCCCCACAGTTTGAGCTCGGTGAAAGCAAGGGCTTTTTGTACCACCTTTGGGGGTCCCTATAACCAGCCATGAGATCTGGCTTGTGCCATATCCTTCAAATGAGCAGTTGAAGACTAGCGTTTTCCCCCTTCCGGATCTATAAGGACTAATAAGAGCTTTGCGTCTGGAAGGCAGTGTGGTTGGGATTGATAGGATTTTGCATGGTGGTTAGGGGAAGCGAGGAAGCAGTAGGGCAAACAGAATCTGTGAAGTGTGATGTACAGTAAGCGTTCAACAGGACATATGGTTGAGGTCCATGAATCTTTTGTTCTATAGTCACGGCCTCTGTATCAAAGTTGGGTTTTTTTTGGGGGGGGGGATGCATAGTTTTCCCTAAGGCCCTTATGCTATGTATTTTGTCTCAATCCTTAGAACCATTGCAAGGTAGAAATTATTCCGTTTCATAAATAACCTGTAGCCTATGAATTTAAATGATTTCCCCAAGGGACAGTCAGAATTAAAAATCAAGCCAGATCTGTGTCCCCATAAGCCAGCAGAGTGTCTGGTACATAGTGGACACTCAAAAACTGTTTGTGGGATGAATAAGTACTTGATTCTGATTCTGTTCTCTCTCTTTCTAGAGGACTTCTTAAAAGCTATTTAGCCTAACTTCCTCACTTTACAAAGACAGTAAACCCTGTCTTACAGCTACTTAGTATCCACAAGCTGAGATTAGAAACTTGGACCCTTGTTCCTCAGGATAATGCTATTCCCTGTCTATTAGGCCCTGACTCTGGTTTGTACAGTTCTCTGGGACCGTATACATTGGTTAGGAACAAAAGTCACTGATACTTACATAATGTGTGCTAAATGATTATATATGATTGTGTGCTAGATTGAGGGACAGATCACATTATGCCATTAAAGGAATTCAGATATGGTAACAGTCCCTGTAGGGTGTAATAACAAGAAAAGCCTTTGCTTGGACTTTGAAAAATATTCAGGTGTTTCGTTCATTAAAAAAAGGCAACCTACTTTTTGTTTTCTTAGTCATTGCCCTAGTTTGGGCCATCTCTCTTTCATCTAGCCTCTTCTTTTGGGTCTGTCTTGCTTTGTGTTCACAGAACACTGTTCCTAATACCCAGGCTGACCATTTTCTTGCTCAGAAACTTCCTGTGGCTTCCCCTTCCTTGCTAAGATCACACACCATGTGATCTTACCTTCCACTCTCTCCCCACTCCTCTGAGACCACTTACTGTCCCCTAAATCCATCCCATTGCCTCCAGGTATCCACCCTCCACTTTATTTCTTCTTTGCTGCCTGTTGAAATACTACACATCCTCCAGTGTTCACCTCAAATGCCATTTCCTTTATACTTCTTGGACAATAGAGGAATTCAGGGTTGGGAAGATACCTATAGGTAATGTCAACACTACTTGTTCCTTCATTATAAAACTTACAATTGAAAGACCAGGAATCAGGCCAATCTGGATTTGAGTCTCAGCTCTGCCACTTACTAGCTGTGAGAGAGTGTTACAGGTATGAGCCACCATGGAAACACTACCAATGAGAATGCTTTTTTGGAACTCCTTTCCATGTTGACTCTAGACTTAGCCATGTGACATGCTTTGATCAATATGACTTTGGCAGGCACGATACAAACAGGCTTGACAAGTGCTGGCATATTGAGGCTGGTCTTCTTGGACCATGCTGTGAGGAAGGCCAATTACCCTGCTGGAGAAAGAGACCAAAGAGAGTCCTTGGCAGATGTCCGGCCACCAGGGTATTCTGTGAGAAAGACAGATGGCTCATCCCTAGCTAATCTAGCCATCCCAGCTGAGGGACTGGCCTTGTGAGTGAAGCTACCTTGAATATTCTGGCTCCATTGTAGCCTTCAGATGCAACGTTCAACCAGTTGAGCCTGGCCCAGATTGTAGTATGAGCACATAAGTAATTTCTACCACTAAGTTCTAGGCTAGATTGTTTCAAGCAGTAGATTATTAACACATTGGCTTTGTGATCTTGGACACTTTATTTCACTGGATCTCACTTTGATCCTCTGTGGAATGTGGATACCACCTCCTTTAGTTGTTTTGAGAAATTGATGATACTTGTATACTGTATATAGAAGGCCCAGGGATGTCTCTGACATTTATTAATTGACATAAGAATCCTGTATGTGGCAGGCACTGTGGTGTGTGATATAGTGAAAAAAAGAGACACAATCCTTCCTTCAAAGTACATACTAAGGATTTGAAAAGTGTTAATTCCCTTCTCTTTTAGCATTGTATGTGGCACACTGTAGGTGCTTAGTTCTTATTGAATTGAACTTTCTATAACATGATCTGTAAGCTAAATAACATTTGTCCTTTCCTGATTCCATTTAAATTAATTTCGGTGCTTACTCTGTAACATACAAAGCACCACCCCAAAAGGCACAGATGGCTTGAAAATTGGCATTTGCTTTGATTGTGCCTGGCTTCCACCTCTGAGCTGGCTTGTTGCTGTGGATGTCACCTGACCTATGGTCTTGGCTGAAGTCACTGGATCCTGAACTGATGAGGTGAAGGACAAGAGACCTGGTCTTCTCAATAGCAACAAAGAGCCTGATATAGTACTCAGTATAAAGAGGATGAAGAGGGTATGCTTCCGATTCTCCCTCTTCCTGTCTTTCCTCTGTTCTTGCTTCTTTGCAGAGAAATACATAACCTTAAATCTTTTTACTCAGGCTCCTGGCATGAACCTTCAACCTGTTTCATCTTTCTTCAGTCTCTTTCTTAGGTCACTTCTAAATAGCTTCTGCTTTTCCACCTCAGTGAAGTTGCTATTTCTAAGGTTCTGAACAAGCCTCTTTAAACACATAGAACTTTGCATAAGCTGACAGACCCAGCTGCTGAATAATTCTTCCTCGTTCAAAACTCAAATGCCTTGCTAAGAGGAGGAAAAACTGGCCCCCTTCAGGTTACTTAAATGTGAATTTATCACAGTTTCTAGGAGCTGATTGACTTTCTTGGACAGAGGGAATTGAAGTATTGAGGGAATTGAGTTGAGTATAGGAAGGCCTGCTAAATAGTGACACAGGGCTCTTAAACAAAATGTCTGAGCTGCTGCTGAAAGTTGAAAAATCTACACATTGCCCCATGTGCCAGCCTCAGTGTGTGTGTGTGTTGGGAGCTCAGTAGTGAGGGCAGGGCTGTTTCCACAGTGCTATTGCTGTAACCCTGGCATGAGGAAGGACACATATGGAAAGGTTGAGAAGTAGGGAGTGATGGCGAACCTATGGCACGTGTGCTGCAGTGAGCTCTTCGTATCATTGAGAGCTCTGAAAGAGTCACCATTACTGAACTAGAGTAAATGTGAATACCTTTTGAAAATTAATTTGATGAAGTATTCTGATTGGTCTTTTTTTGTGTGTGTATTAAAGGCAAACTGCTTTTCTACATTTGCTAAGCCTCCCACCATACACAGAATAGTGGGGAAAAATGTACTGGACGGACTTGGGCTGTCTACCTTGCAAGTGGAAGTATTCTGCACCATTCAAAATTTTCCCAAGGTATGAAGCAGTTGAAATGTATTTTTTAAAGATGTGGCCATTGTATTTATCAGCAAGTCTTGTTTAAACTGTAGAAAATTAATGTCTTAGAATTCTATGTTTGTGAAATATATGTATGATTTATTCATTAATAATCATGTAAATATAATTATATAAATGAACTATGATTTATGTTTTTATTAAGTGTAATTTTAATATAGATGGGACATGCTAGCCTGAAGATGATCCAAGATGGAGAAAGAAAAGCAAAAATAGTTTTAAAAATCTGACGTTACTAATAAAATAAATTCTATAAATCTGTGTGTAGGTTTATAAATTCATTTATTCACCTATCAATTTGTAGATATGTAAACTGATTAAAGAAAAAGTTTTAACAATTTATTTTTCTTTTGAGATAGGGCCTCACTGTGTAGTTCAAGCTGGCCTTGAACTCACTCTGTAGCCCAGGCTGGCCTTGAACTCATGGTGATCCTGATCCTCCTGCCTCAGCCTCCTGAGTGCTAGGATTATTGGTGTGTACCACCATGCCCACCTCAACAATTTCTTTTAAGTCACTTTAATTGCTACATATTTTTTAGAAATAATTTTGGTACAAATCCTTTGTTTTACTTTTCTTATTGCTGAGCAAAATACCCAATGCCCAGAGTTAAAGCTAGAAAGGTTTATTTTAGCTCGAAGGCAGGGCAGCATAGCAGAGGGGCATCACAGAGGAGAAATAATCTGTGGCATGCCAGGCAAAAGGCAGCAAGCAGCAGCAGCAGGCCTGCCTTCTTTCTGTTCCTTCATATTCCATCCAGGCTACAAGCCTATTGTTTGGTGCTACCCACAGCCAGAGTGAAGCTTCCATTATTCACAGCTTCAATCCCAGTGTCACACACCCTAGACCCAGCCAGCTGGGAAAAACCCTACCCATGAGTGCCTGAGTCTTTGGAGGGACATCTAGATATAAACCATAACACCTAGGGAGAATAATTGTGATTAAATCTGTCCACGCCAGATGAGACAGTGCATGCATATAATCCCAGTTACTTCAGAGGATAAGACAAGAGAACTGAAAATTCAAGGCCAGACTGGAATTTCTGTCTCAAAATTTAAAGGTCTAGGGATGTACCTCAGTGGTAGAGTGTTTGCCTAGCATACGTGAGGCCCTCGTTTCCATCCTCAGCACCAAAATAATCATCATCATCATCTGCTCATATCCTTTTTATTTATTGGAAAGATAGTGATAAAAATGAAGTTCAATGTAGCATTTTTATAGTGTTATTTTAACAAGGTAATTTTAAATGTCTTGTGAAGTTAGGTTTAACAGTGCTTCAACATTTATAAAATATCTCAGTGAAAATTGTATCTTCCATTTTCCTCTTAAAATCAGTGATAAAATAGCTCACATGTTAAAAACTAAATGAATTCAATTTCCCATTTTCTGTGAGAGGCAGAGGACATGTGCAGCGCGTTTATGTCATTTCTAGAGCATCTGTTCTGTGGTGATCCCCACTCACTTTGAAGTCCAGGAGAACACTGTGCCTGAGCTGGTGGAGGCACAGGAGGCAGAGAGGCGCCTGGCAGTGAGCACTGCTGTGCAGTGGGTCAATGAGACCATCACTGAGGAGCTGCGGGGCCTGGCGCCGTCCAGCCAGGCTGAGGTGGACTGCATGCTCAGGTACAGCTTCCACTTTGATATAAAAGTGTCAAGCATACCTACGTATCTCTTGTCTTTGCATTTCTCCTGTGGGAAAAAATGGCTCTGCCAAATCTAGCGCATAGGTAAGTCAATTTAAAAAGCATAGTCAGAGCAGCAGAATTTGTATTCTTCATCCCTCCATGTGATCATAATGGCTATGCTTACAATTCTGCTCTCCCCACAACCAAGCCTTCCCTCTTAGCCTCTTGGTTGACCCTAAAATTTAAAAACCAAGGAGGAATTTACTAGGCTGTTAAGTAATGGGTTAGGATTTTTCCTTTTGTGGCCAAGCACAGGTCAACTAGGCCTTCTTTCTTGAAGCTTGATCATTTGCTTAGTTTTATAAAATGTCATATTTTGGTTTGCCTCAGCGTTGGATGATGACCTTAGTTAATACTTTTTAAATAGTTTTTGGTTTTCTTGAAGCTCCTGACTGCTATTCCACTTAACATTTCTTTATTTGGGAGGGGGACGGCTTATTTGCTATTATCAAATCTTTAGTTTTTTTCCAAGTTCTCAGTCACACCTTCAATTTTATTAACACCACCCTTTTTTTCCTGGAGTTTTTTCTCCCTAAACTTCCCATCAGAACTGGTTCCTCACTGGGCCCACTGCAGAGATACCATGAAGACTTCATGTTCCTCTGGTTCCTATATTTTCCTCTTTCTGGATTCTATCCTTTGAAAGTAAGGATGAGAAAGGGAATATGGGATCTAAGGCTTTTGAGTTCTTACATGTGCAGAAATGTCAGTACTTTGCCTCATGGTTGATGGTTTAGATAAATTTCCCTCAGTCCTTTAAAGCTGTTGCCCATGCTGGCATCTGGATTATTAATAAATTGAATATAAATCTAATTCTTATGTCTTTTTTTTTTTTTGGTACCGGGGATTGAACTCGGGACCTTGTGTTTGCGAGGCAGGGGTGGAACCACTGAGCTAAATCCCCAGTCCCTTATGTTTTTTTTTAATCCTTTTTGTCCGTGGAAGTTTATATCCTCTTTTTTTTTGTTTGTTTGGGGTGGGAGTGAGGGTGGGAGGGGATGCTGAAATTTTATGTAATTGTACCTAAGTGGGAGTTCCCTGAAGTTTTTTTCATTATTCATGTTAAGAACCCCTCCAAAAAAGAAAACAGAAATCTTTTACCTAATGCTATGTTTCAGTGTATACTCTTGATGTCATTTATACAAAAAGACAATCCAGTAGCCCTTAATCAAATTATGATTTCAAATTTGATTTTGAAAACACAAACAGAGCTCAAACAATTTAACAAATGACCATTTGAAATCTTTAACATTTATTTCCAGGCCAAATGTATTTCACTTCTTGAACACAGTTTTATAACAAAATCATTATTTTTTTGCCTTGGAAATTAATTTATTCTTAAGTGGCTAAAGAGCATATTATTGAAAGGTATTGGGTTTTAACTATAAAACATGACCAAAAGTTCAGAATCGCATTCAGTATAAATGGTATATACCATGGTGTGGCTGATTTTAAAGCTATATTTCCTTGCCATTAAGGGCATTCTTTGCAAATAAAGTACAAGAAGAGAAGGAGAGAAAAGCGTTGGAAAAGAGCCAGGAAGACTCAGCGGGGTCTGTACCACCATCTCAAATACTACCACCACCTCCTCCACCTCCTACCAAAAAAAGGGGGCAAAAGCCAGGTCAGTGGTTTATCATCGTACAAAAACTTTAGTGACAAACGTTTGAAGAAAGGCTTATGCTTGGATTGTTTGGATCCAGTCACGTGCTGTCCATCCTCCACACCACACATCGTGCCGCTGTGCTGGTGGACAGTGTTTTGTCCTACTCTGCCCTCCATTTTAATTTATAAGACAAAATTCTTTCTTATTTAGAGACGAGCACTTATTAAATAAAATGCACTGAACAGTGGTAATACAGGAGTGGGGTGTGGCATGAGGGACTTTTCACCTCCCCTGTAAATTTCCATTAGATAATCAAAAAGCCACTCCATATTTTAAAGAGTGTTGAAATTCTTTGATATAGACAATATTTTCCCAGGCCCATGTCACATATAAAGATTTGTTTTTAAAAGTGTTGCTATTTTAGAGCACATAGACGTTATCACTTCAATTTGCCCTTTGTTCCATGTCTTCCAACAGATTTCTAATCTCAACCCATCCATTAGGTTAATGCCAGAGTTGATCTTAGGATAGTGTTTTCATGTCTACCAAACTAGAGCATGCTTCTTAAGGGAATAATGAATGCCTTACTCAGTGATGCCAAACCTTTTAGAGACTGAGTGCCCAAACTGCAACCCCAAACCCACTTACTTATCAAAAAATGCCAACACTGCCCCTGTGTGCCCTGTTAAGCGATGCTTGGATGCTGGGGTAATGCTGGGGCAACTTGGCTCATGCCGACAAAAGAGGGCTCTGCGTACCCACTGAGGCACACGTGCCATAGGCTATTCCAGTGTCTTGCAGTATGACACCCTCCACCTCTGAACAAACACCTAGTAAATGTGGAACCCATTGAATAAGAAGGTACCAGACCAAGAAGAGACTAAACACCATGGAGACGAGGTCCTTTATTTCACTGATATGACTGCTGAGATCCAGAGAGGGCAAGAGTATTGACCAAGGCGAAAGAATTATGTTAGACCAGTCTTCTCAAAGACTGTCCAAATCCCCTCTATCCACTTTCTGCAACATATTGGACAAGTGTCTTAATCACCATAACATGTAGTTTACTTATATATGGGTGTGATATCTACCTCACCCCAAGGCATTAATATTGAATGGCCTAAAATTTCTTAGGCAAAATCCATGGCTTGGGATTATCTGAGCACCAATAAGTGAAACCACACACACTTCTTGTTGGGTGAGGTGAAGAATGGTCTCTTTCCAGCCTCAGTTTTTACCCTCCTTTTTGTTGGTCCTTCCTGTCCATAAGTGAAGCATTTAGAAGTATAGTCTTATATTGTCCTCCTAGAAAGGAATCTTTGTCAATGTTTTTCCTCCAGGAAAAAAGGATTCTGTCTATATAGAGAAACCTGTCATACCTGCAGGACCTGCTGAACCAGTACTCTGTGGCAGTATGGCCATAGGGGCCGTGTCACTAGCTGTGGCCAAGACCAGTGCCATTCTGGGCGGTATTCCTCTGTACTTAAACATTGCATTACTGAAGCACAATCAGGTTAGTGTCTCTTATATTCCACTGCAAGGTGCCCTGAGTGTCTCAGAGCAAATGAACCGCTTTTCTCATTTTCCCTGCTTTCCCCTTTTTTCAGGAACAGCCAGCAACGCTAACTATGCCTTTACTGATGGCATCTGTGGTCAGTTGTGGGAAATCATCACCTGGGAAGCTAAATTTAATGAAAGAAGTTATTTGCATACCACATCCTGGATTAACAACTAAACAAGTACCTTCAATTATCCCAGGCTACTTTTTCTGAAAAAAGAAAGGAAATACTCCATTATGAATGTGTTCTTAGCATAGCTCCTTTATGACACCAAGGGAGAGGGAATTACGTCCAGAATGAGAAAAAAATACTTTAGGAAATGTGGCAAGTGGAAATAAAGCAAGACCTCAAGCAAAAGGATACATATCTTAGAAGTCTGGCTCATTACAGCATTGGCTCATGCTAGTGATTTACGGAGAAGCCAGAATGAGTAACTCTTGAGGTCTTAATGGTGTGGGAAGGTTGTTAGCAGGGGAAATTGGGTTGTCTTTATTTACTTGTCTGTGCACTTTATTTACTGGCAGTAGCAGGTAGAAGCTAGCCCTTTCCTAGTGGCCCACTCTGTTCAAAAACAACTCCAGACCTAGCAGATTGCCTACCACATAAAAGGCATTTAGTGTGAATCTGTGGAATGAATGAATCCTAAGTTGCTTCTGAGAGATGTCCTGATGTTTTATTTGTTACTCTTCAGTGGCCTGAAACAGTCAACATACCTCTGAAAATCTTCATAGAGTATTCTACCAATTGGGTATTAGGGAGACCTTACAGGTTCCTGTTGTACAATGTTGAGAAAAAGTACAGGAAGCTTCTCCCCTACCCTCCCATTAACATGTTCCAGCCAGCTTGAACCACCAGTGGTACATACATAACTGTCCCATGCCACCCAGTGGGACAATCATGCATGTACCACCCATGGTTCAGAGCTCCCAGCAGTGACGAATTACAGCCCCAATGTGAACATGTTAATAAAAAATGATATTTAATAAGATAGTGGAAATAAATTTTTTAAAAGTCAGGATATTTTAAGATAATTCTTTTTTAAAGAAATCATTATTCCCTTGCAACTTATCAGTTACAAACCCGGATTTATATCTGGTTCACCATCTGTCAGTTTATGCAGATCCTATTGCTGGTTAGGGTCTTTCCTTTAGCTAATATCTGTTGTGCTAGTTGGATACTATAGGACTTGGAATGCCATTCCTTATCTGTCTTCATATACAGATTGTATCATGATCACAACCCACTTTTTACTTTTTACGTGACAATAGAGTCCTACTGATTCAGGCCCTCTAATCCCGACTGTCTTGGTGACATGTGACATGTACTACAAGAAGGTTGTCTAGCTTTGTCAAGAGATGGTGAAAGGGAATGAAGTTAACTTGGTCCAGCCGGTGGAACCAACCAGTTCTAAACAATAAGGAGCCGGAGGCAGAGACTCTCATACTCAGTCAAATGCAAACCAGGAGCCATAGACTAACATTTAATCTTCTGATTGTGTAGACCACACCCATAGCAGGGGCCCATGGCAAGGACTATTAATACAGTATTCTGAGTTAGGAATAGCCACATGTGGTATAAGTTTTTATGTTTAAAATTTCTAGACTGCAAAAAAATCATGGTTACTCTGCTTGTAGGGTGTGGAGATGCTTCTGGAAATTCAGAAACAAATTAACAAAATACTGGAAATGGTAGGTGAACAGAATCTATGGTATTTTGCTATCGACACCTTCTAGGTCCAACTTTTAGTTCACTTTGAACTAAAATTTAGTTATTAAATCAATATTATTGTTATTATTGCTTTGAGAAATTTATTTGCTTTGCATTTCCCATACAAACCAAGTGTATACATTACTTATTGGCTATGGATCCATATTCTCTCGATTTTGTTTTCTGGTACCAGGAATCAAACTCAGGACCTTGCACTTGCCAGGCAGGTGTGATGCCACTGAGCTAAATCCCCAGCCCTATGGATACATATTCTAAGGGTACTCAATCTTATTTTGATCTCTGAGGTAACTGCCTGTGTGCTAAGATCATTCTTTAGGATTTACAAAGGATGTAAGGCATTTGTGCCTTATAGGGGAAACATTATGTTGTACCTAGAAAAGCAAATCCCACAGTAGTAGGTAGTATTCCGGGAGGGCAAGGAAGGGGCACAAACCCTCCTGCAAAGAGTGCCTGCATACAGCAGGTGTTCCTCACATAGTGTATGAATACTTTATTTATATGAGTAGAAACGCATGAACCTGTTTGCTTACCTGACATATGTGACTGGAGGCAGAAGGTAATATTGAACTAGAGGGAGTATGTGCCTGAATTTGAGAAAGTGTTTGGGACTTCAAAGTAGGGAGTGGCTGGACTCATATCCGTGTGTGTGAATGTGTGTGTGTATATGTGTGTAAGGTTCATAGCAAACCAGCTAAAGACCTGAAGCTCTAGTTGCTGTCACAGACTTGTCTGAAGCTCCTGAGTTAGGTGTTTTTATGTTCTGTCTCACAGCCCACTCCTCCAAAAGCAGAGAACAAAAAAGGACTTAATGGAAACAAAAGAGGTCAAGTAAGTACAGTAATTGTTTACCACACTTATGTAGGAATATAATAAATTTCCTCCTCTCTTTACTCTCCTGTAGTCGTTTTTCTTTAAGGTCAGAGCTCAGGAAAATGGAAACAATAAAGTGATATTGCTCCAGGAGCAAAAACCCAGGGCTGGAATAGCAATCTCCTTTTCATCAACAGGCTGCCTGGCCGTTGCTGCCTGCAGTTGTTAGGCAGCTGGAATCTCAGAGGGCTCAGAAGCATTTATGAGTAACAAGATTACATTTGACCTTATAGGTTAAGGGCTTGGGAAGCTCTTATAACTAACTGAAAGGCATATAGGATATTTTAGATTGTAATTTTACCACTACAAAGAGAGAAAAGGCACAAAAAGATGGCCATTTTTTTCATCTGGTCCCCAAAAGGCACAAAAGCCCCATTCCAGGTGAGCCCTTATGGGAACACTGAGATTGTCAGAAGACTCAGACAAACAGTCCATGTGGAGCGTGGCCACATGAGTCTCCAGAGTCTTGGGAGACCACTGAATTGGGATGGTCATTCACTTACTTTGGTGATTGTGGGTGCTCAGATAGATACACCTACTATTTACCCAACCTTTTAAAACTACAAACAGAACAGCCAGTAAGAATCCTGGAGATAACACAGGAGGGCAAAGGTTGCTCACATCTGCAGCATTTGCTGTCAGCCTGCAGTCCTCAGCCATGCTTATGGCAGGGATGTCAGTCTGTTGGCATCAAAAGAAGAGGGACTAGTACTGAAAGGAGGGGACTTAACAGGGACAAGATTGGGAGAGAAGAAAAAAACGTGAATAAATACAGCAATAAATATTTGTCAGCTATGTATGTTAGAGTGAGCATATCATTCATATGCAGTCTTGCCAGAAAGGTGGGAATGGTGAACAACCAATTGGTGCTGTTCCCCGCTTCTAGCAAGTTGTCTTCTATATTCCGAGAATCTTATACAAGGTCTTCCCTTCCCATGCCCAGCTTTATTTAGTTACTTTTCATAGAGAGGCCACCACAGCCAAGTTGAGGGAGTGGACTCTGGACCTAACTGCTGGCATTAAGTTTTGGTAAAATGGAGATAATCATAATAGTTATTTTAGGAGGTTGCACCTTTATAAGGTTCAAATGAATTTGTATTGTGTAACTTAATGAAACTAAATTGATAGACAAAAATTTCTCCAGCTATTCCTTTGCTGGATGATTTTAGAAGTTTCCTTTCATTGACATTAAAAATGCTGGGTGGTTCTTATAATTAGCATAATCATCAGTTAAAAACAGGATTATTTATACCAGGGTTCAAATTTTCTCTTCAGTTTGGTAAACACATACCCTTAACCCTCAGAATCACTGATATTGCGTCAATTTATAAGTATATAGTTGCGATTTATGGTTGGGCACATCTAACCTTGTGATAGAAGCATGTATGGGTGCCTTACCCTAGGGGTCATTTGGGTCCCCAAATGTTTTTCCACTAACAGCCATTCCCAGTAATGCATCCTTTTCATTAAAATCTTCAGTCCTTTTAAAAATACAATTTTTCCTGAAGGAGTATTATTACATCTTTAAGTTTTAACTGTTATGATGGAATTAATATGAGAAAATGAGAAAGTGGAAACAAAGTCTTTATAAATAGGGAAGGATGGAGGGGTTGAAGGGAGGGCAGGGGAAGGGGGAAAAATAAGAACCAAGAGAGATCATGTAAAGGTGCAAATTTCCAATGTTACGTTGTATACCTAAAATGTACCAATAAAATAAAATTAAAGGAAAATAAATTGGTAACAAAATACATTTTTCTCTCATAAAAAAAGTTTTAACTGTTATGTTTATCTAAAGGAAACCATGTTTGGAGAGGAGTGGCTGAGAAAGAGACTGATGGATGGGTGTTTACAGGGACATCCTGGGGATTCACTGAACTGGTAGTCAGGGCTTAGGCTAGCCCCACAGTGGCAGAGTTGATAAAATGATAACATAACACAGGCCCACTAACAAGAGAAAATCCAGGGCTGGGGATTTAGCTCCGTGGTTCTGGCGCCTGCTGTGCAAGCGCAAGGTCCTGAGATCAATCCCCGGTACTAAAAACAAAGAAATAAACAAGAGAAACCCCAGATAGTGCAGAGAGATCTTAATCTCAAAGTCCTATGAATGGGACCTAGAAGTAGGATTTAATCTCTGTCCACCACAGGAAGCTCCAGGAGTCTTAATGTAATGTGCTAATATGCATCATTGTCTTCTGCTCTTGCAGCAGCCGGTCACTGGTAAGATGTCCCATCTGGGCTGTTTAACCATTAACTGTGACGTCATGGAACAGCCACTGCTTCTAATACAGGGCGTCTGTGCAAACCTGGAGCTAGAACTGGGAACAAATCTGCATCTAGCCATCAACTGTGCTGGACATGAGTTGATGGACTATGTAAGTTTCTACTTCAGAACATTTACTTCTTGTTGACACCCAGGATTTTAAAGTTAGAACTCAAGAGAAGAGTTTATCTGAATAGTTCCTACAGAGATGCAGTTGTCTTTAAAAATTAATAGTGGGTAAGGGATCCAAACATAAGTAGAGGTAAGAAAGCCAAATTAGCTAATTACTAGAGAGTACTATAAGCATTTAACTAAAAATAAAGCCAGAAATAGTGGCATAGGTCTGTAATTCCAGATATTTAGGAGGGTGAGGCAGAAGGACTGAAATTTCCAGGCCAGCCTTGGTGAGACCGTGCCTCAAAATATCAAAAGGGGCTGGGGGATTTAGCTCAGTGGTTTCACCGCCTGCTGTGCAAGCACAAGAACCCAAGTTCGATCCCCGGTACAAAAAAAAAAATCAAAAGAGCAGGGGTTGTAGCTCAGTGTTCCCAGGGTTCAATCCCAGGGACTGGGACAGAAAAAATAACAACATAAAATGTCTTAATTTTATATAGAAAGTCTATAATAAATATGAAAAAAGTATTAAGTATAGAATGAAAAAGTATAAAAAATCTTCAAAAGGGCCGAGGATTTAGCTCAGTGGTTCCGTCGCTTGCCTTGCAAATGCAAGGACCCAAGTTTGATCCCTGGTACCAAAAAAAAAAAAATCTCCAATTATGGACTTGTTAGGAAGCTACATAATTAGATTACTTCCATTGCAAACATGAAAACTATTGGAAAATAATTTAACAAACTGGTATGCTTTGCAGTGTAAATGCAGTGTAAATGACTAGTTGGTAAATGTTGAATTTGTCAAGCATGAAAAGTAGATGAATTGTAACTATGATTTTTTCACAGATCCTTCTGGGCAGGTGACCATTAAGAGTTTATGTTGTTGCTCACTTTTAAAAAAATTTTTTGCAGTGGCAGTGATCAAACCTAGGGCCTCAACACATGGTAGGCAACTACTCTACCACTGAGCTACATCTCACTTTTTATAGAAAAATGTTTCCAAGTTATTAAAGTTTGTGAAGAGTTATGTTTTTATTTAATTATATAAAGTCTCATCCCCAACCTGGGTCAGGAGGACAGAGCCTCAATGATGAATGTCACCTGGTGACCACATTACCCAGAGAGAAAAAAATTTTTTTTTCTTTTTTTTGGTATTGGAGATCAAACTCTGGTCCTTTTGCTTATGAGGCAGGCACAGTGCCACTGAGCTAAATTTCCAGCCCCAGAGAGAAATATTTTAAAAAGAGACTGGAAAGCAAATTCATTGAAAACTATTCACTCCTCACCTCCTCAGACTAATACAACAATTTAACTTTATACTTGAGAAATCTGCATGTTAGGAAATCTGTTTGAAGTTTTCTGCCTTATACATACACATACTTCTCACTGTCAAATACACAATGTTTTCTCCATTTTACAAAATGCCCAGGATATTGACATGCATTTATGGTGACTTGGTAATTAATGTCAAATTCAGGGGACATGACAAAATGGGATACCGTTTTAACCCTGATTCTAACTTTCAACTACAAAGAAAATTTTGAATGGTGTATAAGAGCCTTAAGTTTTGGCTTATTTCTCAAAGTTCTTTTACTTTTCTAAAGAAACTAAGCACATAAAGGCATGTTTAAAATAATTTCCTATTCTTCACATAATGATTGGTTCCTAGGCATACCATTAAGAAAAATAATTGCATGTTTTCATCAGCAACGTATACCAGGAACTATGAATATACTGACTGCTAGTGCTAAGTAGAATGGGTATTTATTGCTTATATTCAGTAAAATGTATTAGCTTGATATCAGCTAATTCTTACAATAAGATTAGTTCAAAGTCATTAACATTTCCTCACTGACAAGATAGGATTTTTAAGCTTTGCATTATAGGAGCTGAAAGTTCTTGCTGCTTTTTAGCATGAAGTATAAAATCCCTTCAATTATGGACTTCTTAGAAACCTGTTAATTCCAATGGAATTCAGTCTATTAGCGGCAGCAGCAGGAAAGCATTAGCAAACCAAACAGCCACTCTGTCCATTCTACCTCTTTGCCAGAACCTGAATGTCCCTGGTGCTACCCCTGAACACAGACTTGAAAATAGGGGTGCTTTGTTTTGCAGAAAGACTACACTGGGTCCTTCAGCCCAAATGAATAGGGTTGTACTAAAATCCAACTTTCAGGATGGTTCCTACGAAAAGTTGCATGTGACCTGAGAAAGAGATGCCTTCCCATAAGTCACTTCACATTTCATATTGGTTGTTAGTACTCAAAAGCCTAGCCCAAGATGGATGTGGTGGTGCATCCCTATAATCTTAGCTACTCTGGAGGCCAAGGCAGACAGATTGCAAGTTTGAGAGAAGTCTGGGCAAGTTAGACTGTGTCTCAAAATGAAATTTAAAGGGGGATGGGGGATGTAGCTCAGTACTCCCTAGGTTCAGTCCTCAACACTGAGGAGAAAAAGCCTAGCCCTGCTTTCAAATTTTAGAATATTTATAGTAAAGGAAACAAATTATTTGTTCCCTGAGTTGAAAGACATTGGGTTCTAGAGTGGGCAGGTTTTATGCTGCTGTTCTGTTGGTTGTTTTATGAATTTGTCGTATTGTCCACCTACCTAGGCAGCCAGGAACCTGGCACCATGTCATAAATCTAAATAAGAAAACAATTCCCCACCAACTCTGTATCTGTTTGCTTTCTGTGTAGAAGGCTCCATCCAAAGTCTGTGGGAAGAGCTTTATATGGCATAAAGAGAAACAGTGACTTGATTGCTCCCAGGTTAATATTTTGAAGATATACAATGTGGAATGCATAGATTTTTCAGGGTAATGTGGCTTGAAAAAATCTGTTTATAATCTTTTATAAGAAAAGAATGAAAAGGAATTTGTCATCTTTAACATTTGAACATGTATCCTTTATTCTGTTGTTTCCCATACACACATTAGAGTAAAGGAAAGTATGAAGTACTGATGGGTACCCACAAAAATGCAGCAGAGATGGTCGACTTGTATGTGGAGCTGATCAACAAGTACCCTTCCATCATTGCCTTAATTGATCCTCTCAGGAAGGAGGTGAGCTTCCTAAACTGTTTACATTTTATAACATATTTTTATGCTATAAAGCAAGGAGGCCCACCTACATTTTACAGCAAAACAGAATAAAATGTCATTCTTTTGGATCTCTTGTCATTGGGAATGTGTTGTAATTTGGGCTGGGGCTGGGTTGCTTTATTTTGCCATTTATGAGAAAGGCACTAAGCACATGAATAATAGAAACACAATCACCTTGGGGTGTGCCTGTCTGCTGAGTGAAACAAGCCATTTGGGAGCCTTTCAGGAGTACCTGTGTATTTACCAGCAACTTCCCTGATGAAAACCGCCCCTGCTGCACCGGGTGGTGCTTCAATAGGTTAATCATATATCATTTTCATGTGCTCATGGAAACAGGACCTCTCCGAGGCCAAGTATTTTTTAAAAACTAAATCCAGTTACTACCTATGGACAAAAGTAACAAAGCCTTTTTAGATCAGTTCTGGGGATATAACCCAGGGGCACTCTATCACTGAGTACATCCCCAGCACTTTTTTTTTGAGACATTCCCTAGGAGGGTGTCAAACTTGAGAACCTCTTGCCTCATCCTCCTTCAGCCGTGAGATTGTAAGTGTGCACCACAGTGCCTGGCCAAAAGTCATGTTTTTAAAAGTCCAAGATACTGAGGTTTTGTGATGTATTCAGACCAGTGCCTCTAGGAAGGGTTATCCACATGCCACTAAAGGCCGTCTTGTCTCCCTTTCTAACTCACTCCAAATTTGAATTCTTGATTTTGTGAATTTAGAGTCATTTGCTTACTGAACAGATAGATTGAACAGCCTCTCTCAGATAACGATTTAGATTTGGGAACAGTGTGAACACTGGATCTCATTTGGAGGGAGTCCCAGAGTTTGTCAGTTCTACCTTCCCTTTCCTGGCTGAGCCTCTCTACAAGCTCTCTCATAAGACACCGGCTGAGCTCAGTGCCAAACTGGCCTTGTGATGAGTCTTGAGGCTCCAATCCCAGCTTTTCTTAATGTGAAAGAATATACCTGCAGCATCAGCTCTAAAGGGATAGGTGAAATCTGGGATTTCAATGGCTGGGATGACTTTGTATGTAGATATGTGCATACTCACATACCTACATACAAACATTCATACACATATAGTTTATTAAATAAGCATTTCATTTCACATGGTGATCTCCCCAATTAAAATAAGGGTTCTGAGAAAGAGGGCCAAGGCTCCTTTTAAATTTTTTTGTTCATAAAAAATAAGAAAAATCTTCTAACCAGTCAGTCTTTATTAGCATTATGGATAATACAGTGATGGGAGTAGCCTGGGTTTGAAGAACATCACAGTTCATGTGAGGAATAGTACTTAGTGCATTAACATCTTACTCATAAGATCATTAAGCTCAAATTAAGTCACATTAAGTATCTCTTCAATGAAGCATCCAAACTTATGTAGCTATGGTACCAGGATCATTCATGCATAGGTGTAAAAGAAAATGTTTTGTATATCTCAGGAAAGGAGTATGACTTTAATTATGTGCTATGATTCCTGTTGTTTTATATTATAATGATCAGCTCTTATTTACCCAGGACTCTGAACAGTGGGACAGCATCTGTAATGCTCTCGGTTCCAGGTGCTACGTAATTGCAGGAACTGCATCCAAAAGCATTTCTAAGCTTCTAGAGCATGGAAGCATCAGCAGCCCCAGATCCCATGGGCTGATCATAAAACATACAAATCAAACTACCATGTCTGACTTGGTGGAAATAACCAATCTTATTAACAGTAAGTAAAATATAGATTTGAATGTCTCACGATGACTTGGTTATATAAGAAGCCCAAACTATGCAGTATGTGAAAGTTAGTAAAAAGGAAGGGATAAATCTGGGAAGAAAAGAAACTATTTGTGGGAGATTTAGTGTTGGAAAATAAAATGCAGTTTAGTGTCACTCTGTGAACAGTCCAGTAACAGCCCTAGTCCATATGGTCATCGCTTTACTGCAGGTCAGCAAAAGGTGTGACCATGGTCACTGACCTATCAGCTTCACAATGGAAAGGGACTTTCTGCCCCTAATAGGAAGACCACAGCCTGATTTCTTCTGAAAGGGCATAGCCATTAGCACATTTATTAGCTGGCTTTAGACCGTGAGCCTGGACTACAGAAAATCTTTAGAGAAGGCAGAGATAATCCCAGCCCTGATTGCCAGATAGGTCTCAAACTGAATCATGATCTGTGAGACACCAGCCCGGTTTCCAAACACAGTAATGTTCAAGCTCATGACAAGCTTAGCATTCACTAATGCAAGGCATCAGGCCCCACCAGGAAGCAATGGGGACAGGTGTGTTTACACCACAGCACACTGCTAAGGTATTATAAATTCCCTCCCCTAACTCACTATCACATTGTGCTCTAGATTAATCCTCAGCACCTTAAGAATAGGGACCATCTAGGCACAGCCTAAGTACACAATAAGGATGTAGCCAGGGATTTAGCTCAGTGGTTCCGCCACCTGCCTTGCAAGCGCAAGGTCCCGAGTTTGATCCCCAGTACCAAAAAAAAACCGCGCACACACAATAAGGATGTAGTCTGCTGGCTTGAAATAAATTACCATTTTTAATATATCCTTAAGTAGGGGACCATTTTAATTTGCATGGACTTGGGGAAGGCTCTCAGGTGATCATAATTTGGAACTAGAACATCCACGGGAAGGAATTGGTATACTTCAGAGGTTAAGAAAACAGGCAAGAAGGTCCAATCAGCAGAAGCAGTCAGTTCTGTCAGGTGAGATTGTGGCAGAGGGAGGTTCGTTCCTAACAGGAACCACTAGGAAGCTACAGTCAGGCAAGGCCATGTAGCATCAAGGAAGCATTTAGAAGCAAGCCTTTAGCCATGAAGCTGGGATTGGTCACAGGATCCCAGTACTGGAGTCCAGGGGTGACAGGTAAAAAGCAGGGCTCCAACATAAGTGGGCCTGGGATGCTAGAAGTCAGCAGCTTCATGCAGTACCAACAGCCAGAAATTTTAACATTAGGTTTAACTCTTAACATCATCCCATGAAGCACACATAATCCTATGAAGCATTAGATTTAACTCTTACCATAATCCTATGAAGATTTAACTTACCATAATCCTATGAAGCACATTATCATTTCCAATTTACTGATATGAAAATAAGGCTTGGAAAGGTTAAGACACTACAGTGATTCCACTTACTGTTCTAATTGCTCAACTTCCAAAGTCTTTACTGCCTCAGTTTGAACATGCAGTTCCTTTGGCCTCGACTGCTTGGCTCAGTGTTGTTGACTTAGTTAACTATGCTTCATCCTTCAAGTATTGACCGAAATGAAACATCTATAGATGCATATTCCTCCTCTGTTCTCTACCTCTAAGTGGTTCTGCTCTGAACCTTCCTTGTAGCATCTCATAGTTTCTCTTTGTAATGCTGACCACAATGAATTGTCTACTTAATGGCTGGTATCCCTCACTAGACTAAATTCCAGTGAGTTCATGGGCATCCTGTTACATAAATAACATGACCAGGTTTTGGGGACAAGACCTTACTCAGACCTGAAGCAAGAAGCAGAGCCACACTGGAAGCTGGGGCCAGGGCAGGTCGCAGGGGAAGGGCTGACAGGTACAGGTAGAGCTAGCTCAGGGTGTCTGATGGGAGGCCCCAGTCCTGGTCTTTCCCCTTGTGCCCACCACTTAGCAGGTGTTCTCTCCTTTTCAGATGGGTCCTGTCTTTAAAACGCACACTGTCACTATTGTCACTAGCTTACACTCTTCATAGATTGGCAAGTTTCAAAGGGTTTTGAGGCCATCAAATAATTAAATAGTATGAACACTGCTCTAAATATTCAGAAAGACAGATTCCTTTTATTTTGTTTGAAATGCAGATTTTTCTACTTGAACAGCAGCAAAATTAGATCATGTTTTATAGCTGTGGTCTTAGGAGCGTGTCAGTCTGATCTGGGAATTCCCCCCTTCTCACTGGTGATAGAATGATGGTACATCTTACCCCAAAAGTATCCTAAGTTTGATGAAACATGGTATTCTGTACTTACAGCAAGTTAAGCTCCCAGGAAAAGGACTAAACACATAAAACAAGGGCAATAAAAATGCAAATCTTTGGATTAAAAGTCTTTGGTGGTGTTTGACTTTTGACAGGAAAGGGTTTTCTTTGTTTTGTTTTTTTGGTACCGGGGATCGAACTCAGGTCCTTGCGCTTATGCAGCAGGCGGCAAAACCACTGAGCTAAATCCCTGGCCCTTGACAGGAAGGTTTTAAATCTGGAAAATTTCTCATTTTGACTCTAGAAGCTCTCATTTATGTGAGCTGTTTCTGTGCAATACAAAATTGAAGGAATTTCTCTTCCAGGTAAGAAGCACATTGCCATCCTTGGAAGTACAGAAGGAGAGTCCTCTGATGATAGCCTTGTCGATTTGGTAAGTGCTGAATGCTGGTCAACTGCAGAATTGCCAAAACACTGCTTTTATCACGAATTGCTATTTCAGAGAAATGCAGTCTTTGGTGGAGAAAGTCATGTAACCTTTTATGAAATAGACTTGCTTCCTCCCAGACAGCTACCTTTTGCAAAGAGCTAATCTTTGAACTTTTAAAAAGAAGCACAATTGAAGTCCAGGGAAAATGACAAGCACACTTAAATAACTGGGGTGTGTACTAGCAATCTTCCCTCCTAAAATGAAGTGAGAAAGGCCAGACTGTTCTTAGATAAAATCAGCATGCTTACACGACTAGTAAAACGTCTGATGGGCAGTCAGTCACACCATCTTTCTGCCTTTCAACACTCCTGTCTTGTGAGCACACCACTTTACTTACATAAAGATAAAAATGAAACTATAACAGAAAAAAACCCAACAGCGCACCATGACAGTTTTCTTCCCCTTTAAAGAACTGTTTGTAGCTAAGCAAAACGTGACACCCCCAGTTAAAATAAGTTGTTTCCCCCCTTCAGGCCGTTGGACTCGGTGTCCGGTTTATCAAGTTGGGAGGTCTTTCTCGTGGTGAACGGGTGACCAAGTACAACCGCCTTCTTACTATAGAGGAAGAACTTGTCCAGAATGAAACACTGGGTATGTGCTACTCTCTCACTTTGTTTTCGCTTAGCCATGAATAAGGGAACAAAGATGGGAAGAGGGGGAATAGAAGTCCCCCCGCAGGAGGGCTCGGGAATCCAGAGACTGTAAATCAGTGCTGACAAAGCGAGGATGGCACTTGGTACAATGTATATTGTTGTCTTAATGGATTATCTATTTACCTGAATGTTTAAAACTCTTGCCCTTCTTCTCTTGAATAAGCTGCGTGATGCTTTTCAATAGAATTAATTGATTGGAATCTCCAAGCCTACCTTTTGTTATAGTCCAAATTATAGAGGCTTTTCTTCACAGCCTGTGAAAGTTACAGGCAGATGTTTTCCTGATGGTTCCTGGAGACAACTCTTCCACTTAAAACAACTAGGCAGCATGTTAATTTTAATGTACCTTGGAAAGTTCAAGGTCTCAAGAGAAGTGAACGAGTCATTTATGAAATCCAACCTTTATAAATTTGCATGGAAAGAAACACCTTGTGTACTGGCTGGAGAGAAACATCCTAAACATGCATTTTTGTTTTCTATATTATTGATTGTGATGGCCTAAAAGAGGCCATAGCATGCAGAGTCGTTTATAAAGATCAACAAAGATGGTGATTTTAAAATTTGTCATGTTTACCATATATGCAGTGGTCCTGAAACACACCCTTCATAGAAAATGAAGATATAATTGGGAAACTATTTTTGATCCATGTAAAGGCACTCAAAAGTTAGTCTGTGTTTTGGTGTGAAATGCAAAAGCTCATTTTTTCAAATAGGTCAATTATATTGTTCTATATATTGTCTGATTAACTTTTGTCATTCTGAACTCGTGGAGGCCTTAGGTTCCTAAAATGATCACTCATACAAATTCAGGGCAGCCTTCACAAGAGACACAGCTGTTGCAGGGCATCAAAAAGACCCCAGGGCAGGAAAAAAGACCCCAGGGACTAGAGGCTTACCCCCTTTCAGGTGCTAGTGGAACCCCAGGTATTGGAATGGATTAGGAATTGAGAATTTCTCTGACACTGGGCAGTAAATATTAAGGGAGAACTGGCAAAGTTGGCAAAACAAACCTCTCCATTCCTACTTTTGAATAGGAGATCCTGGCAAAATCCAGCCACTAAAATACCATCATTGCCTATATGGACCTTTCTAGAACAGTCCACTTCTGCCATCATCTCCCTTTGAGTCTTTGGCAATGGTTCGTGTTCACATATAGCACTGGACTTTCCTGTAGCTCAGCTTCCTCTTTTCCTTTTCTGCTAAGCCTATGCCACTGAACAGCAAACAACTCCAGAAGGTCTTACCGGGTACAATGCAAACTGAATAGGACAATGGTTTTGTACGGTGAATACATAATCAAAGTGATTCTGGATCCTTTCTGATGGCGCTGTACTCCTCTGGCCTTTTCTGATGATGATCCCTTCAAATAATATAATGCCAAAAATGGCACCACTGGGTTAGACAATAAACTTAATTTTTTTAAAATAGGTTTCAATGAAGAACACACCTTTTTTTACTTTAATGAGGATGCTAAAAAGGCACTTGAAGCTGCTGCCACTGCAGCCGGTGAGCTGCTTGGGCCCCGGGAACCTATCTTCCCCACAGAGGTTGTGGAAGAATCAGCTAGATCGTGACCACATTCTGGATGGGGTGTACCCTGGGGTACAGCCACACCAAGGTATTAGACTGGTAGGTGTAAAATGTCGCTATATTGGCTCTGCTCTTCACCTTCACTAATTCAGGTGTGCTTTTTCATTCTTGTAATTCCACTGTTTGGTAAAATACATATATAATATTTTGGCCTGAAAGTCTGTGAACTTTGTTTTACAGTCATCACATTTCCATGGGGACACTAGCTCTACTGTCCAATGTGCAAGTTCATGATCTAGTTTTTCTAGAGGCAATATTTTTGTTGCCAGTTCTACGACATCTTGTCCTTTACAAATCAGAACACCTCCAAAATAGAAGCTAATTCTGTAAGAAGCTCTCAATGCCAGGAACAGGTGTCCAGCTCCTGTGTTCTGAGATGCACAGATATCTTTTTGCAGCCAACCGGATGCAGCTGGTGACAAGACTTTTTAAAATAGCCAAAGAACTTCATCTTATTTTCCTACACTTGACTCCCTTTTCCCCTGATGTCTTTGTCTTAAATTTGAGCTTTTTTTACTTTTATCTTTGTGAGTCTCATATCATTTTGAAACAAGAAAAGGTATAAAGTAATAAATCAGTGAAATGAATACTCTTCAGGTTGTTAAATGCCCAGACCATTTATAATATAAAAGGGGATTGGCAAATGGTTAAAAAGGATGTGACATATATGTTGACTTGCCTCTTGACATTTGTCAGCCATTGTTGGGGTTATAGCAGAGGAACCCCAGAAACAAATGTATTCAAGCATACACCTATAGGTATATAATGACATCTAACTGCTTTATATGATTGAGTCCTGTTAAAAGGATTACTATTTGGTTTTCCTACAAATTATATATATTTCTATGCACTAACCTGCAGGAGAGAGTTGGCTAAGTTTAGACTTCTGATCTATTGTATAAGTCTTTACTAAGTGCACCAAGGTCCTCTCCTTTTGAAGAGTATAAGCAAGGGAAATTAATGTCCTCATGGTAGAGCCAGCCTCTTCCTCTCAAAGCTACAATCTGAAATTGGCTCAGTGGCGGCCTCTCAGAGCGTGAGGTACAGAATTGGTTGACATCATTCTATGTTGGGAGACTGTGTCACAATTTGTGGTCACCACTGCTTCTCCTGATTCTTAGTAACAAACAGTAGTGCAGGAGAAACTGGAAGGAAAATTCACCTTAAAGGCAAGACAAACATGGCTGGATAGTCACACAGCCTTTGCAAATATCCTTAAAGATACACACATAGGCAAATCATATGACAATATCCCATGCAACTGTGATAAAAATTATAAACCAGAGCAAAACGATTAAGTTAACCAAAGAGATTATTTATTACCTTAACCAGGTTAGCACTTTAGTTTCAACCCAGAATGCTGTCTACTTAACGTTAATTCACTTGATAATTCACCACCAATGGAAAGTGAGCGTTTTAATGTAGACTTTTTAGAATGCTAATAACTTATTTATATTTTTTCCAGTCTGTATTATATAAAATATTTATATAACATGTAGTATCTGTGAAAGATGAAACAAACTAGTCATATCCCAGATTAAAGACAGTGGGACAGGGAAAGTGGGACAGTGCTTGGAAGAAACTTGAAGACTTCCAGTCCATACATAAGCACTGCTTGATGAGTCTTATAAGGGCAGTGGTGATGCCAGATGGTTACCCACTCTTTACAGTTTATTGGCACATCAATTAAACTTCTTCCATGATGGAAGTGTACCTTCAGAAAAAATAATCCAGATTTTTTAAAGACTGTGATACAGACTACTATCATTTGCCTGACATACAACCTAACATGATCAGGAAAGATAATCAACAATAATTTTTACCTGTACTATTTCCTGTCCAACAGACCTTTTCCTGTTCACAAAGTTTAGGAAGGAGGAATTACTAATGAGAAGTCAGAGCCAAACCAACCATCCTTTTTAACTCAGGTAAAACAAAGCTGGGTGCTAAAGGCCCTGATGACCCCTGCCAATCAGAACTCCCACAGGGCGCGGATCAACTGCTAAAATGGCAGTAGGTCAGGAACTGGAGACTAGCTCAGACACAAAAGGGTACAAGAATTTCAATTAAATTCTTATTTTTTCAGAAGAGGAGACATTTTCCTTTTCTTTAATAGGAACAGCACAAAGGGCCTCTATCCCTCTGCCCCACTGTGGGTATAAAAGTGCATCCGCCTGAGTTAAGAAAACAGAAGCAGAGAGACCTAATCTACATTCCTAAAACAGAAGCATAGATGTCCTTACAAAGAAGACAAAAGCATGCAATACCTTCCAACTTTAAAATGTTATAGTAGATTGTAGATAAATTTTTGTGCAAGTGGGCTGGGGATTTAGCTCAGTGGTGCTGTGCCTGCTTTGAAAGCACAAGGTCCTGAGTTCGATCTCCAGTACCAAAAAAAAAAAATTTGTGCAAGTAACTAAAGACACACTTTGAAGATGGACGCACTAGACTCCCTATGTTATCCTATCTGGGACCAATTGCTTTGGTGACAACACAGCAGAGGGGAAAAAAACCCCTCAAAACTGAGCTGAAAAGGGAAAAACTAGGAAAAAGGTGAATAAATATCTTACATCAAATATCCTTGTACCATAGTAATTTAAAATACTCTGTGATCATGAGGAAGGAAAGTAGGGAAGCTCAGAAAGGCAAATATCAGGTGCTAACTGATGCTTGGTCCAGCCAGCACATCTCACTGAATGGCTAACTTCTGCTGGGAATGAAGGTGTTTTCATAATCATGTTATCCTGCTGATGTGTATGCTGAAATAGGGAAACATAGTGTTATATGTGTGTAATATACAAACCAGGAGACTGATAATGGACACAGGAAGGAGGATCACATCAAGAAATACGGAGTAAAATGGTCAAAGCAAACCATTTTTAGATCATTAAAAATTACTAAAATTACCAACTCTTATACAATTTTCCTATTAAGAATATCAAGATTGGTTCATTTTGGAGCTGGAGTGTAGCTCAGTGGTAGAACACTTACCTAGCAATTTGCAAAGCCCTGGATTTGATTCCTAGAAAAGTGGGGGAGGCCAGTAAGGTTGGAGAACTAAATTTAAAAAGTCAAAAACCACAATTGACCCTTAATGGGAAGCTGTTGGTGCTTCTTTTTAATACACTGTGGCAAGGAGAGTTCAAATCACAGCACAACATAACTTGTCTACGTGAATTAATCAATTTGTAGTTAGCATATCACATAGTGCTATTATTCAGTTAGCAAAACATACAGATGAAAAAACATTACATTTAAATGCCCTATGAGTAATCTGATAGGTAACCGTAAGTCATCACTGGAAGAACATGGAAATAGTAGCGAACCTATAGAAAGATAATTGTCTCCAAATTGAGGAAGTACATTCACCTGACTACCCACGTCTTCAAGCCTCTGCTTAGCACATGTGCAAAAATACAATACAATACAACTACTGCAATTATTACTATCATTTTCTTTTGCCCTTAGGTGAGGAACACCTGACAGCTACATGCTGAGTCATGCTAACAAAACTAAACCTTTCACTTTAATAGTAAAATTACTATTACTGAATCATTGTCATAAAAAGTGCATTCAAGTACATTACCACTTATTTTAAATAAACACCAATTTTGAAACAATTGACTTTGAAAAGCTGCATAAGTTTTTTTTTTTAAATCCCTGATTACACTTCTATTTATTCACTGTGGTAGCCTGAAACACTATTTTGAGAGACTAACTACCACTTAATTTCTTTAAAATAAAACAAAACAAAACAAAAAAACCTATATAATACAGAATGGCAATGAAGCAAGAAAAATGTGTCCTTGTCATTTATCTTCACTGTACATAAGAATTGTGATTAAATATGGTGCTTGGGCCACATTAGTATATGGGAAAACACAATGAACTCATAGTATAGAAAACATGATTTATGAAGATATTACTGTTGATTCGAGGTTTGGATTTTCACCTCAATTCCATACTCAGGCCACCAGAACATTCCCACTGAGGTCCTTGGGAGGCTTTAGGCACAACCAATAGCATGTGTTTTCCATCCAGTAGTTAACAAAGTGTGCAATTCATGTTGACTAAGAGACAACTACTTTGATGCCAGCTCCTGAGTTCGAAGTTTATCCCAGTCTACCTTAGAAAATAGCTTGTATGCCATAGGATCCACCCTTTCCATGCTGTTGCAGATTATCTAAAGAGGATGAGATCCAAAACAGAAGCTTCTTTGAGGGATTTTTGTTTTGTTTTTGAGTCATGGTCTATGTTCCCCAGTCTGGCCTTAAACTCCTGGGCTCAAATAATCCTCCTACCCCAGCCTCCAGAATAGCTGAACTATAGGTGCAAGCCACTGTGTTTGGTCCTGGTGGTGGGAGGGGGGGGCGGGTTATATCATGTTAAGTCGTTCAGTTCTGTTTATTCAACTATCACAAACACCTCAAACTTTCAACATTACTAAATTTGATGAGTGGTATGCACATTTCCTAAAAAGATACCAACATCTGAATCCTTTGTAATCTTCTAAACAAAGCCATACTTCATACATACAGTAACTAGGAAAAAATCTTATCTCTATAAAGATGAAAACCCAAAAACTACTTAGAATGTGTATATTTTGCTAAACAGCTTATTTATGCTTATAGTTGCTACTTACAAAAGTGACACCAGAAAAGAAGCTATATTGTGAATACAGTGACCAGACGGAATGTCTATAGCCCTTAACAATACACCAAACTGAATCATGTGCTTATTGAAAAGGACTTCCAAACATGTCAGCCTTCTGGCTGATGGATCAGCAGCTGGAGGTGTCTGTCTCTCTCATTTTTTCAATGCTGTCTTCTTTGAATTCTGGTTTAGTTTCACCTTCATCATGCTTGCATTGAGCTGGATCTTTCTTGGCAACCTGGTCTTTGGTTTGGGGTTCGTGTGTGGAAACAGGATGTAAAACTACAATTGGTTCAGCTTTGTTTTCACTGCCAATGTATTTTCTCCTGTATCCAATGTTACTGGGAGGCCTATGAGATGAAGAGTTAAACAGAAAAATAAAAAGTAGAGAGAGAAAGCATTTTTTCTTTCATATTCCTGAATTCAGAACCCCCCCCCCAATATTCTATCTAATCAGCATGCACAGTTGTCTTTGAGATGCCAGCCATTAAAAAAAATGAAGCTAGCAAGTTACATATTAGGAACACAAGGCCAGAAGAAGGCAGAAAAGAGTGATTAACAAAGAAAATATTAAAAAGCCAAACACTGCCAGGGATTTAGCTCAGTGGTTCCGCCGCCTGCCTCACTAGCGCAAGGTCCTGAGTTCAATCCCCAGTACCAAAGAAAAAGCCAAACACACCTACCTGCTTAATCACATGTTCTTCTCAGGAAGCACAAAGCTTGTGGCTCCATTGTCCATTTATTTCCCATCACTGCCTGACATCCCAACCCCTGCCCTGCCACCCTCACTTACCTGCAAGGAGCCCACACAACCCCTTCCTTCCCTCTTCCCCCTGGGTGCCCCTGCTGCAGATTAGCTTTGAAGAGGT